CGCGGCAGGACGCTCCTCTGGCGACGGAAACCAGACCCAGAGCAAACCGCGACCGCCCCCTTTGACCGGCAGCTCCAGTTACCAAATCCAGCCGGGCTTTCAACGGACCTGTTGCACCAGGTACATCTTGAGGAAAGACTTTACATTTTCCGCCCGTGTTTTAACTTCCCACATGAGTCTGTTATCTCTTGTGTGGGGGAGCTGAGCAGTTCTGTGTAATGACTGCCATCCTAAGTCAGGTATTTACTCTTCATTTCATCCAGGAAGTGCTCAGCCTGATCAAGGGGTTTTAAACCCGAAAACTTGCTAAAAAATTCTTTTCCAACTATTTCAGTTGGTCTAATAAAAGATGTCCAATTCACCCAAAGAACCATGTCTGTTTTCCTGCTAGTCAGGGATCCGGGTTGTTGCCTTTCCCTCTAGACCAATACAGCTATCAGGACTCATCAGAGCGACCATAGACGTAGTAGAGATTATTTTTTATTAGACCAACAAGACTTTTTTGCAACAAAAAAAATTCTTGATTTGCAAAGCTTTCGGGCACCAACACCCTTCATCAGGCATCGGAGAAAAAATGGTCAAAGTTCTCCTGGGTAGAAATGAAAGTCTGTATTTCTGGTTCATTAATGCTAGTAAGGATTTTTATTCTGGAATTACTAGGAAGTAGGAAGGAAATGAGGTCCTTTTGAAAGATAGGTGCCAAATTCAGCTAGGTCTCTGATAAAAAATAAGATATGAACATGAAAAGTTATTAGAGCTGCATGACCGCCGCAAGATCCTGCCGAGGAACCTGCCTCCACCTGCGCCGCCTCCTTTTTTGGGGAACTGAGCAGTCCTGTCTAATGAATGCCATTGTGCTAGTCAGGGATCCGGGTTGCAGCCGTATTGGTCAGAGGAAAAAGCAATCAGGACTCGTGGTAGAGATGGTATCTGTTATTAGACCAACACGATTTTTGCAAAAAAAAATTCTTTAATTGCAAAGCTTTTGGGCACCAATACTATTCTTCATCAGGCATTGGAGAAAAGATGGTCAAAGTTCTCCTGGGTAGAAATGAAAGTTCATATTTCTGGTTCATTACTGCTAGTAAGGATTTTTATTCTGGAATTACTAGGAAGTAGGAAGGACATGAGGTCCTTTTGAAAGATAGGTACCAAATTCAGATAGATCTCTGATAAAGATAAAACATCAACATGGAAAGTTATCAGAAAAAGTCACCCGGCTGAGTAGTCACAACAATGTTACGACCAAAAAAAAAAAAAAAACCGTCTTTGGGAAGGAAGACTCCTAGTTATGTAAGTTGCTGCCTTTGCCTACCAAGATTTAAAATTCCAGTGACTGGTTTCTGTCTGTAGGAAGCCCTGTCTTTTGATGGGAAGGTGGAACTAAAGGGATCTTGGATTTTTAGTCCCATCTGAGCTACTAAATCTTCATATACTTAGGGCCAAATCAAAGACAGTGAAGTGCCTAACATCCTTTGAAAATATATGAAAATGAGGTATCTAAAAAGGAGCTATGTAGTTAAAAACCTCCTAGGGATCTGAGCCTTAGCCTCTCCATATATAGGAGCTCAAATGAAATCCTGGGTAAAAAGGATGGTTTTATACTGAAAACCAGATGCTCCCTTTGAATAGAGTAAATCATGTGCATGCAGGATTTCTTAAAAGGGCCGGTGTTGTTGTTGAATAAGGCATTTATAAGACTTTTCTCCTATCAGGAATATTATTTCCTACATCTGAAGGATGTTGTGGAAAAGGAGTAGCATAAAGGTGACAACAGCTAAAACAGGGTTCAAGGATGGGAAGTATACTATTAAGGTGGCAGCAGAAAGCAATAGAAGAAACTTGGAAGAGAGAAGTTTGTCACATCAGGGAGGCTTTCAAGCTCTGGACAGTTTCATAATGTGTAAAATATAATATAAGAAAGGGGGGAAGCCACAAGAAGTTTCATGTAAATAGTTATAAATACTGCATCAGTTACTGCTCAATACAGAAACCTAAAGACAGGTATAAATATATACAAGAGATACCTGGGTTTCCATTACACTAGGGAATTCCTACTTGCGCCACTTTAGATGAACAGATGTCTAGTAGAAATGTAGTCACTGATATTTTAGCAGCTCTAGCACATTTGCCACTTTAATTTAACTTGCTAACTAATGACAGCTCTTAGTGTTTAGATAATATCAGTTCACTTCTCTCAGTGGTAGCAGCAACAGGAAGCTTTTTCTCAAATTTCCTAAGGTAGATTCTTAGGTTTAATGGGTGGGGGAGAAGAATTAAGAGTATGGTGAGTATGCTAAAGTAGATTTAGGATAATGAAAATGAAAGACATGAGGGAAGAGGCGTGATGGATCAAGCTCGGTTTTTCTTTTTCAGATCTTATTTCTCATGAGAAACATCCAAAATAGATAACTGGAAAATCAAATTGGATAAGCTTCCCAGACATAGATAGCAACCTCTTGTGACAAAATACAAATAGCACAATAAAAAAATGATGTCACAATTCTTGTGGCTATTAGCATGGAGAATTTATACATGACATGATGAAAGTTATAAATAGCATCAATCTAGCTGTTAGATTTTGGGCAGAAGGGTATTTCTGAGATTCACTTATAAAAGTTATTTTGCTTCTTATGAATTCTCCAGTCTAGGCAATTATTAGTTCAAATAACTCGCTTCTTATTGTGGAAAAGTTACCACTTTCATTCTTATACTTGTATAGCCATTTATGCCCATAAAAACTTAATTGTTCATCACTGCCATCAGTATAAAATGAGGGGTCAATTCAGTTTGGTAACACTTTACAAAGGGAACACATTTAAATGACTGTATAAACACATAGGGTGCATTTGCACATTGCCCTATGGCAGTGTAACAACTTGCTATGTCACTGTAGCAATCGCACGTGTCTACACGTGATCATGGTGACATAGCAGTAAAATTTACCTGTGCGCTGCACATGTGGCGCAGTAACTGCCCATACTGTCAAAAGGAAGTATTAAAGCACAGCGCTGTAGCAACATTGCCAAACAGTGATGTGGAGATGCTCCTATACGGCATTAGAAAATTAAGCCTGGAAAGTGTTAGCATTAAAAGGACTCTTTTGAGTTGAAGTGCATATGCAATAGGGGTGTGCGAAACGGGCTGTATTCGATTCAGATTCAGCCCAAATTGGGGACAGTGATTCGATTAATTGATTCAGATCACTGTCCCTGATTTGATTTGGCTGAATCCAAATCTGAAGATTCGATGCCGATTGAGAGAATCAGCCATTTGGCCACAGACATAGCTTTAAATGTTTTTCCTACATACCTCGAGGTACCAGGCGTGGCTCGTGAACACTGCAATGCTGGGACAGATGGAGCATTCCACAGGAGCATGGGGGGGCCCCCCCGCGTGTTCAGTGGCAAACCCAGAAGTGGACCAGAAGTACTTCTGGATACCTCTCCAAATCGATTCAGAGAAATTAAAGGGTCTTCTGATTTGATTCAGCTTTGGAGATTCGGCCACCGAATTGGGCCAGATCTCCACCAAATCGAATCATGGACCAAAGCTTCGTACAGCCCTAATGTGCAAGTCTTTCTCAGTAACAATTCATTATAAAACAAAAGACTGGATCATCAACTATGGAAGAAAAACATGACCAAATTCTGCCAAGTTAAAATTCTTAAACATCTGTGGCCTTATTTACTCCTGCAATTACTCTCAAATGGATTTAAATTATTTTTAAGAACCTCAAGAAAAAAAAGCACAGAACTTGTTCTTCTCTTGAATGTTTTGATCCAAAAAACAAACAAGAAGGGCTAACAGGTTTAGGTCCCTTAAACTTAATGTAGAATTATCAGGTAATTTAGTTATTTCTCTTTCATCAAATTATGCTTGGAAATCAAAAGTCTGAGGGACAAGTAGAAACAAGTTAGTGCTCTTTTCCAATCTAAATACTTCTATTACAAGAATGTTACAATTGCCTGTACATATCACTTGTTAGACAATATTTGCAATGTCTGCTTATTAGAACAAGACATGGAAACAAACTAATTAGACTTTACACTGAGAATTTCTGTAGCAAATATACTCTTAAATATTCCTGTGCAAGAGGTTGCTTAACACATACCCCTCTTAGAATTTAATTTGAAAGTAGTGTTCCCCAGATATCACATGGAAACATTTTAATATCAGTTTTTTCCCTACCACCGGTTGATTAATACAGAATTTATATACACATTCTATTATGTTTGAAGCTTTACAAATTATTTTTCATATTATAGTAGCTTTTACAAGAAAAGAAAATAGAAAAATACTTTTAGAAAGGCTCTTCTGGCAACACGTTAGCCCATGGTCTTTATAGGTATTATAAAGCTAGTTGCAGTAAGAGATGGATCCAACATTTTATAAAATCCTCAGGAGAGAGAAAATAATCTACCAGTGAAAAGTCTCAATTTCTTCAAATTTTACCATGCATGAGGGCATTTTACCAGGCAGAAGACTTACCTTTACCATATATTAAATGAAAATATTGATTATAACTACTCTTTTCTGGAGTCATAGACAAATCATATATTTGACAAATAGCAAATGCATTTCTTCAATCAGGAGAAAGTTGGTAGCTCTGCTAAAAATACTGAAAAAACTTCTTTATTCTGTTAGAAAAATGAATTCCCAGGTTATGTTATTACCATTAAGAGTTGTGAATCTGTTTTCTTAACAAAACCATATGTCACATAACTAAATCAAACTACTCACCATTTGAGAGCTGTTAAATTACTGAGGTCAGTAATAGCATCCTTCCAATTAGAAGGTAGACTCTGTTTTTAGTACATCTCAGTGTTCTTGACAATTAATCCTGCATATGATTGCCTTCCCTAAAACAGCCTCTCATTGGCTTTTTAATGGGCTGCTAGAGTGTTTGAATTGAAGTAATTACAGTTTAATGTGCCATGGTAAAATAAATGTCTCAAACTATGTAGCTTTGTTGTAATGGTTGAATAAAAGTCATGTCTTCAGAACTTAGTGCACTATTATTACTTAATAGTTCAGAAAATGTATGCATTTTCTTGCTTAAAGACACAAATATAAAGGCCTATGTCTTATAGATAAAGATTAATAAACTATGTTACTATTTCTGATTATTTGAAGCCTGTTGTATTCACAAGGCTTGATCACGAGGACTGTTAAGATTTTTGTATAAGCATAAAAATTTTAATGTCTTATTTTATAAAATGTTCAATTTTCGATGGATCTACATTCTGGGCCCACTCCAGTTAAGACTTGTATGTGTAAGTTTAACCATTGTACTTATTCCTGCGAGTAACATTTTGCACCTGGGTCAGTCTTTGCAGGATTGGACATTGCTGTAATAAAATGCTTTATTCTGGAGATTTTTTTTTTGTATAATCATAGAATAATAGAAAAGTAGGGCTGGAGGTGACCACAATAGTTCAGGTAGGCCTCTTGCTTTGAGGGAGAAACAAGTAAACATTCCATCAGTGACAACGTTTTTTCTAACCTCTTATAAATCCTCCAAGATATTAACTTTCATATGCATTTTAGATAATCTGCTCCAGTACTTATCTGTCTTCATACTTACAATATTTTTATACTGTCTAACCCTAAGTCTCCCTTCCTGAAAGTTAAGCCAGTTCTTTTTTATCTTATCCTTGGTGGACATGGAGGACAGTAAATCACTGTCTTTTTAATAACAACTTTTGAAATACTTGAAGACTCTTATTATGTAGCCCCTCAGTCTTCCCTTTTCTTGACAGAACAACACTGTCTCTTTCATCCTTTCCTTATAGGTCACACTGTCTTACCTCTTATTATTTTTGTTCTCACCTGGCTCTAACTTATCTACATCTTTGAAGTGTGGTACCAAAGCTACACACAGTACTTTAGCTAAGACGTCACCAGGGCCAAATAGAACAGGTATTTCACTCCCATGTTACATATATGATAGTCCTACCAGTACATCTCAGAATATTTACTTTTTATTTTGCAACACCAGCACATTAGTGACTGATAGTCAATTTGTGGTCCACAAGACCCAGCAAATCCTTTTTTTTTTTTTTTTTTTTTTTGCATTTGCTTCCTTTTCAT